GATGTTGCTTTACGCGGCTTCACTCAGAGAGGGAAAAGTTCCTGGAGAATGGGAGACGGCAACAGTGGTGGGTATATACAAGGGTGGCCCCAGGCAAAAGCCCACGAATTATAGGCCAATCAGCCTAACATGCGTTCTATGTAAATGCCTAGAACGCATCGTGAGGCGACAATTATGTGAGTAATTCATGGTACACAACATCATAACACCCGCGCAGCATGGAGTTGTGACAGGCAAGTCCTGTCTGACAAATTTGCTGCTATTGCTAGACGATGTGATCAGGAGACTCGACGAAGGTCTTACTGTGGAAGTCTGTTACATGGACTTGAATAATTCTTTCGACTCAGTCAACCACAGATACCTGGACCACAAGATGCAAACAGTAGGCATTACAGGGAGGGCCAGGGCCTGAGTGAATAACTTCAACAGGGGGAGGACCTTCAGAGTAAGATTTGGCACGTGCACTATAGATCTAACAGATGTGATCAGTGGCGTACCCCAGGGGTCTGTACTGGGCTCGTTACTCTTCCTCCTCTTCATGAACGACCTACCGAACTGTAGGAGAGGACGGATAAAACTTCTCGAATGCGTGGAGGGAGACGCTTCAACCAAAGATGGCGGAGGATGGCGTCATCAAGTAGCGGTGCCGAGGAGTTGCCGCATGTGTCGCAACAACTGGGACGGGGTGCGTTCGCCGATTATGAGGTCCCCAAACAACTCATCTAATCGACGTTTATCCGACACAGTTGTGCGGGTGATTAAAGCTTCCTTCAACTGAGTGTATGGGTCAGTCTCAGGCATAGTGATGAATTCAAACACCTATTCCACAATATCGGTGGGCAGGGAAGTGACTATGTGGGAATACATAATCGTCTGGAAGCGGATGCGGTGGGCACAGAAATGGGCTTCGGCTTGGGCGAACCATAATCAGGGGTTGTTTATACCAAATGCCGGCAATTTAATGTGAGAAGACATGGGAATATCCTCTATGTTCAGTTTCGATTGCTCTATATGTAAAATTTACAGTAAACGAGTAAAATACAAGGAATTGAAATTCCTGAAAAATCTGGGGTACCCTAGGAAAATATGAAGCTATAGATAATCTAAACAAGGGTTCACGATATATGTAGTGGAAAAGATACTACATATACGAATAATAATGAAATAAACGGTACAAGGAACGAACTCACCGAAGGATTGTCCGGCTGGTTGATTGATCCTATTCTTCCGATGTGTGGCTCCGATCGAGGAGGTGCAGTGGAGCTGAAATGGATGACTGCGACAGTTAACGGACCGCTTGACGATAACTGATAATGATTGCGTAGTGCTTCAGCAACACTCGGATAACACGTGCGGAGTTGCGAACAGAATTTGTATTGTGTCTTAGGTTTTGTGCATATTAAAACAAGCTGTACAATCATGTCAGATAAAAGTGGGTAGAAAAGTAAGACACTACACTACCTGTTTGCTGACGATGTGGAGATGGCTGGCGCAGACCTGGACGAAGACATTGAAGCTATACTATCCTGGTCACATAAGTGGGACCTGCCGCTAAACTTGGCCAAATGTCAACGGCTAGGGGCAAGAAGGGCCGACATGCCAGATCAGATAGGGCAGTTGATGTAGATTACGCATGCCAAGGACCTAGGGGTTGGGGTCTCTAGGGACTTCAAGCCCTCCAGGCAGTGCATGGCGTCAGCCAATAAGGCTAGAGGCGAAGTCTTTAGGATAAGGGCTACGATGTCCTGCAGAGATCCGCAGGTTCCGGTCCCGCTATATAAGGCTATCGCCCGGCCACATCTGGAGTATTGTGTTCCAGCATGGGCACCGAACTTACAGAAGGACCTAGATTGCCTGGAAAGAGTCTAACGACTAGCCACTCGAGTGATTTGTCGTCAGAACCACAATGATTACGAGGACAGACTTAAGAACTTAAACTTGTTTTCCCTTTGACGCAGACACATGAGGGGTGACTTAATTGAAACGCTCAAAATAATGAACGGTCCGTCGGGCATCAAAAGCGAGGAACTATTCTCTGCGATCCCGGAAAGTGGCACCAGGGGCATAACTTCAGACTCCCGTGTCATCACAGTAGACTCCAACTCCGGGCAAGGTTCTTCACCAACAGGGTGATCCCACTGTGGAATAGGATGTCAGAACATGTGGTCAGATGCAGCACAGTAGTGGCATTTAAGACTGCACTGGATGAGTGTTGGAGAACAGTCTACCCACAAGCGGCCTACTGAGGAGTAAGGCGCTAAGAAAACCCTCGCACGCTAACCGCTAAGATTTGATGTTACAAATGTGGATGTATGCTAGAGAAAGGTGTTTTCTGTTAGGTATTTTCTGTGAATTTACCAAATGCCAACATTTTACATTTTATGACAATTCCGCCAGGTGTCAGTGGTCAGGATCAGGGTCATTCATACTAACCTATGGCAGCTTGGCCCAGGCCTAGACCGCTGAGTTTCATCTGCCTATTTTCAGAAACACCTCAGCTGGGAACGTATAATGAGGACAGAGACAACTAGACCCAGCAATGGTTGATTGCTGTAATCGGCAATACGCAGTGTTGGAAGCTACAAACACCCGCCAACAACACAACACTCCGGACGCTCGATTGGCTGGAAGCCACTTTTCATCCTGTGCATACTGAACTGAACTAAACTGATCCAACCTGACCTGCGATTCAAGGTCAGAAGCGTTCACAGGATAGATCAAATCGTCACTGCACAACCTGACCTACGCACCGATGGACCGGATATCCTCGAATTACACGTGGGGCTGGAGCAGGTGCGCAGGACTCTTGGTGAGCTCAACGCCACAAAATCCGTAGGACCAGATGGCATCTATCCAGCCTTAGTTTAAACATAGCTGAGGTTCTAGGGGTCCCACTTTGCTATCTGTTCAACAAAACTCTAGAACAAAGCAGGATACCACAGGACTGGAAAACAGCAACTGTGGTCGCCAAACACAAGGGAGGATCGAGACACAAGGTTGAAAACTACCGTCCAGTTAGTCTCACAGGTATCTTGTGCAAAGCGCTTGAGAGAATTATCATAACCCACTTATGCGAATACCTTACTCAGTGCCGGTTGCTGATTGCGGCACAGCATGGGTTTTGGAAAGTAAAATCCTGTCTGAGCAATCTCTTACACTTCTTAGATGGAGTCACAGAGAGATGAGACGAGGCTAAGGAAGTGGAAGTATGCTATCTGGACATTAGCAAAGCATTTGACTCAGTATGTCATCGCTTACTTTTGGCCAAGATACATGCTTTAGGGATAAGGGGTAACAGCCACAAGTGGCTAACAGCTTTCCTGGCCGATAGGACCTTCGTAGTTCGGGTCGGAGAAGCGAACTAGCCAATGGAAAATATTGCTAGTGGTGTTCCTCAGGGATTAGTTCTAGGTCCACTCCTATTCTTGCTCTACATCAGTGATCTGCCTGAACGCCTAGGCTCGCCTAGCTATATATTCGCGAATGACATCAAGGTGGTAGGATCAAGTGGAAGAGAGGAATTAGGGAGGAACTTAGGAGAAATGCTCAAGTGGTCAGGTACATGGGATCTGCCTCTCAGCATAGGAAAGAGTCATGTCTTGGCCTCTGCAGACGGGGGGCTGATAGTGGGGAGTAGTCATGGCGGTCTTTCACTAGGAACGATCCAGAAAGCTAGAGATTTAGGAATCATAGTGACAGCATACTACAAATGGGCAGAACAGTGTTCCGCAGCGGCTCACCGTGCCCGTCGAGAGCTTTTTAGATTGAGGTCTGCACTAACGTAGGAAACCGGAGGTATTCTTACCTCTATACAAGGCCATTGTTCGACCGCTTTTGTATACAAGCCTGGGCTCCCTTCTTCAAAAAGAACGCCGCTTGTCTCGAGGGTGTCCAACGATTAGCCACAAAGATGATCGAAAGATAGCGAGGGAAGTCGTATAAGCAGAGACTGCAGGACTTCGGGCTCTTCTCCTTGGAGAGAAGAAGACTCAGAGGTGACTCGATAGAGACACTCAAAATTATGAATGGCCTATCAGGGACGGATCAAGCAGTATCCTTCGAGAGGATGCAAAGCAATACTACGGGGCACATGCACAAGCTGAAGAAAGTACGCACGAGACTAGCGGTGCGTTCAAACTTCTTCAGCAACAGGGCAGTCAACTTATGAAATAAGTTACCACAAGAGCTGGTATCATAAGCGCTGTAGTACACCGACAAAGAAGTGCTACAACTTATACACGATACATAGCTCCCTGCGGTGGATTTGAGTCCACTGTATAGCGTTGATAGGGGAATGCTCACGCATCCCCAGGGACAAAGTGGCGGGTAACCTCAACCAGCCGGATTAGCCTAAGGAGACGAAACCTCGGGTGCCCAAAAGAAAGAAAGCATAGAAAGCAATCCTTAAGGAAAACCGGGAATCAGATGCCAACACGCAAGGAAAAACTACCGCAGTAGCTCAAGAGAGGGACGCAGAGGGTATGGCAAGTATAAAAGACAGTTTGAAACAGCTTCAAAAAAGGCTGAAACTCCTGAAAAAAGCTAATCAAGCAATCCTAGGAAGGGCTAGGAATAAACTTCTGCATAACTGCGTGGAGCCCGTGATTAGAGACTCCAAGTCTCGGCACGAGGCGGACCGGAAGTATGTGCAGATCGCGCTTTGGCTAGCGGGGCTGCCTACCATGACTGGAATTATGAAGTGTCATAGGGTGGAACTACGGAAAGGCGAAAGGGCCACCCAGCCCCTGCGTATATTGTTGGCCCTCAAGAGTATTTATGCCAGGGACCGCCTATTGCCCAGATCACCGGTAATAGAAAGCATCACCAGGGGCAGCATAATTGTCACCCCAGATAATGGTCCGGTGATCCGTACAACAAACTGGCCATCCACCAGTAAACAGAAAGTAAGGCCGCCGAAGAATGCAGTAGTCAAGCTAAGAAGGGTAGGAGCGCCCGAGAAATCTAGATTGACGACTAACTCAATGAAGTCCCTGGGTTAGATGTTCACACCAAAGGGCACACAGGGACCGAAGGGTTCACCGTTGAGTAAGTCAACACCAAAACCTAAAGGAAATCCGCTGAGGGAGTTGATGGGCAGCGAAGCGGAGGTGGTTGGCGCGGAGAAAAACACCACCGCTTTCAGCCCCGCAGCATTTGCGAAGCTAAAACCTGTAGCACAGAAATCCGCTGCCTCGGAGCAAGATAATCGCAGGAACGGATCGCAGGGAACCAATTCACGCGAACAGGTGTCAGAGGAACGCATCTGAGCAACAGTAGTAGCGAATACACCGAAACGCCGGCCAGGATTGGGCACAATTACCAGTTTCGGACGCGAGGACCTTGAGTTCTTCAAATAACGTCACGCTGCAGGCAT